TGTAAATACAAAGTGTTTTCACTATTTCCATGTTCAACCAAAATTATTATAAACTTGTTTATTTTTATTCCAGTACTATTTATGTGAAAGCAATAGTATTTTTTATTTATGTAATGACAGCAGAAAAAAAATTTGCAAGAATTTTAAGTGACACCAATAACAACTCTTTTGGGAATGCTTCTGTTTTGGGCCAGGACCTCCATGTTGCCTTTCTGTAAGCAACTGAGTCAAAAGACAGTCACTTATTTTAATAATAATGCAAAAATGAAAATGGAGTCCTCTAAAATAGGCTGAAATGTGGATTGAAGAAGATAGTGATAAAAAAAAAAATAAAAAAAAAATAAAATGAAGCAATGGTTTCAGAACATAAGAGAGAAAGCATGAGTTGACAAAGGAACCTTCATGCATCAAAAGTACCAAAAAAAAAAAAAAAAAAAAAAAAAATTTACAACATTGACCTTTATGCCATTTTTCTTGAAGTAACTGAACAATATTGATAAGAAAATTTGCAATAAATTCTAAAAATCAATTGTTTTTCATTTTCAAGAAAAAGGAGATAAAGGCAACAAAAAAGAAACTTTAGTAGAATTAAAATGTCGAACTATATTGATAAGCAAAAGTTGCATTTAAAATATTTAATCTGAGAGACACAATGAATAATTGAATATCAATTTTATTAGAGTGACATTTTGTATAACTTCCTTTTAATAAAACTGACAAGTTTCTAAAGACAGGGAAATACGTTTAAAAATAAAAGTAATTTCATATTTTTATTTCTATGTAAATATAAATGTACTATCCCAAAACTGATGTTATGATTAGTGAATTATAAAGTGCAAGCCAAAAAGAGATTGGGTTGCAGCTAGTTACTTTAAGAATTTTACAATAGGCATTGGCTATTCTTTTGCTTATGAACAAGGAATAAGTGCTGCTACTTCAGCCAACTAGTGGTAATATTTTCATCATTGATACTATCATGCTTAAGTATGAGAAAACAACTTTCCTTTCTGTAACAATCCAACTATCAAATCGTGCTGTTTGGCAGACAGGAGGACCATGTATGTTTTTGCTTGTTCTGATAGATTGTGTATGTAAACATATATTAACAATGCTACAATTGGAAATTAAATAAAATGTTCCAGGTTTTTAGCATCAATTAGTAACAACATTCAAAAGAGTTATTTAAAATTCTTTTGAATTAGGATTACTTATATAATTTATGGTTATGCCAGGCTTAGGCCTTCTACTGGTAACATGCAACTCAGCATGGACAGGTGGTTGGCATCTAAACCCACTAGCTTTTCTGCTAGTGAAGAGTGTAGCATGTCATTACACAGGACAAAAAAACAAGACCTGTCAAAGAGCAGATGAACTGCTTATAGGAGCCAACGTGTGTGTGTGTGTGTGTGTGTAATTCTCTAAAGATGTAATGGATCTTTTATTTATTAATCTGACAGATTGCATTATTTTAACATTATTTTTAACAGAGAGTTCATATTTTTCATTAATAAGATTTATCAAATATTCAGGACAGTAAAGAAAATAAATATACTGCTTAATAAATAAATAAATAGAGTTTCTACTTAAATAGGGTGCTGGGAACTGAAAGCTTAAAAAAACAAATATCTTTGAGAGTTGAGTCAGATTTTTTAAAATACAAATTAAGGTATTAAAAATGTTTTTAAAAAATATTTAAAAGTTACTTTATAATTTGTTTTAAAAACAATGGTTACAGCCTATTTAGCTTTTATATTGAAATTGTGTATTATTTGAGGTGGAAACAATAGTTGCAAATATTTCATCATAAAATTCATAACTAATGATCAGGTAAGTAATTTTATCCTTGATCATTTTTTTTTCTCTCATCTTGTTTGTATTTAAATATAGACGTCTGACAACTGGACGTTATTTTGAGTTTATGTTCAGATTAAAGAAATCTGAGAAATTAAAACTGATTTCTGATCATTTTGCTTAATGAAGAAAATGTATTTCCCTGTTTCCAAAAACTCAACAAATGTAAAACAAATTTTTTGGTAGGTACTGGTAATTTATTTTCCAGAAAAATCAATATTTACTTGAATTTGTAAGAGAGAAAAAAAATATATCAAGACACAATCTCAGAGCTAAAAAGAAACTAAGCCATGCATTTGATGCCATTTTTTTTTTCATTAGCAGACACACACAAGCTTTTAAAACACTACAATTTCATGCAAAGCAACTTTACAGTAAAAAAAAAAAAAAAAGCAAATTCACTACACTCTTTCATTCATTCTGAGCCAAATGGACCAACATCAGAAGCAAATCACAAAAGGTACCCACCTGGTATCTGTGATAGACATTTTTTCCAACCAAATAAAAAAAAAAAGTTCTAGAAAATGACTTTTTGTTAAAGATCAATTTCTTTAGCTGTACCGATTACTTTAGAAGATTCAAAGAGACCAAAAGATTCAACATCAGAAAGAAAAGTTATCAAAAAAAGTGAGAGAGAGAAGAGAAAGAAATCTACAGAAATTAAAAAAATTAAGATTAATTTAGAACCGGACAAGATTAAAAGTGAGGGTGGGAAGTAGCACGACTATGCCATTCTCCCAAATAACGATTTGTCTATTTTAAAAATCAAATTCTTTGCATTTTACTTAAACAGCAACCTCAGATGCCAGCATAAAAATATACAAATACCTTAACCACAAAGCAAGTTGATGAATATCTATAGTATATATATAAGTAAAGATGAAAACTTACTAAATCTGTGAATAGAGAGGACATACTAAGAAAGCATTTATCATGCCTAATAAAATTTCTTATAAGAAACTAAAAGAATCTGTATACATTAACGTCAATGTTCATTAAAATAAAGGCTACTAAACTTTCCAAAGCGAATTATATCAGAAACCAACTAAGAATAAAAAAAAAGGCTTTCCTTGCAGATTATTCACTAAGGTTGTGAGTTCAATCCCCAATGGGTGCCCTACTAATATAACTCCAAGCAAGATGATATTAACCTTAGTAAATAAATACCCAGGGTCATATTTAATTAAAATATCATTACAGTTGCTATTTAATTGGCTAACTAGTAAACTATTTAGTAGCAATATAAATTTAAGAATAGTTAATTGTAGAGTTGTTTTTTTATCAAATTAGTATTAGAAGAAATGGGTACATCAAGTTCTTCAATCATTTTCTGACAACAGCACAATAAATCCATACCAACTCCTATTTTTATTGAAGTTCAATTACAAATAATGCAATGTATACAATGAGTGCATGGCTGAGTGGTTAGGATGTTCACTTTGTGATCAGGAGACCTGAGTTTGGGTCTCAACAGGGTAAATTTGTCAGGAAGATGACTTCTTGATGTTATCAGCCTGGAGAGATGATCCCAATGTGCAACACCATTAGAAAGTACCCAAAAATCATACCCCACTGATTGACTTAAGCCCTGAGAATCAAACTGGGTAGACAGAATTGTTCAGTGGTTTTATTAGCACAAAGTAACAAGTCATCATGACCGAGAGTTTGAGCATAGTGGTGTTTTGTTCAAACTGTTGATCAAACCAGATAATGTTCTCTCTCCCAGAAATGGTAACCAAGTTTGCACAGCATAGTTGTAGTGTAAACCACAGGTAGGCTCTTTGGGTGTTGACCAAACACATGCTTGAGCAGATGTCAGGGATGGTTAGCTACCTTAGTAGACAGACATACTCGGAAACAAGCAGCCAGCTATTATTCATTATTATAATGTATTTAAAAACAGCACAACATTTTCGCTAAATCCTATTTCAGCCCAACTGAAATGGTTTTAAAACAATACAAAGCTACAGCTGATGGATGTTGTTTAAGAATTAATATAGTAAGTGATCAGTTAAAAGTTGCCATTTTTTTTGAAAATGCAAATAGGTCACTACCTTATTAGAATTAGTTACCTATGACGAGCCTACTTACTTGCTGTACTTTCTACATTTAAACTGTAAATATCTATTTCTAGTTGAAGATTAATTAAAAATGATTATACAAAAAAAAAAAAAAAAAAACCCTGTACTGCTTACCAACTCACCTCTGCATAACATGTACAATAAAGAAGCATTAGATAAAACCAAACCATTTTTTTTTTTTTTTTAAGTACAAGAAATATTTTAATTCTTGAATTAACTAATACAAAATATTTTAGTAAGTAATGTGGCTAGCTTTTAGTAAGCAGACAGGTTGTTCTACAATACTGGCTACAGTTCAAATGAATACATTGAGAATATAGAATTTAAGTAGATGTATACAGTCTTAATGTTATATTGTTGGAAATACAACTGCCCAGTCAATTCCTAATTATCTTTAAGTGCTTTACCTGCTTTGTAAATTACTTCCATAGATCAATCTTTAGATGAAATATTCATTTTTATTAGAAATGCATAAGAGAGCAGACCTCGAAATCTCCATGTCAGAAAACATTAAGGTTCCTACGACTATGTTAAAGAATATTTTAAAATAAAATAAGTTTCCAAAGCTGCTTTTAAAAATGCATGGAATACTTGATTTGAAATCTTAACATCAAACTATTTATAATGGTGATGTAATGACAAACAGAAGCAGATAGGTATTAAGAAAATACCCATTAAGTGCTTTGATATCCAGTTACATTATACTGTGAAAAAAAAAAAAAAAAAAAAAAAAAAAAAAAAAAAAAGATTTTCCTTTATACATTTTAAAATAACAATCTCAAAACCTTAGTGTATGAGACACACAATTCCATAAAATTTAAGAATATAAAAAAAAAGAAGTTTAAAAATCAGAGAAACTTACTCTCCTTTACTTAATGCCAAATAATGAAATCTTATCTTGCCAACTACTGTAAATAATTGTGAGTTAAGATTTCTCTTGATATTTTCTAAAATAACTAATAGCTGAAAGAACAGATAAAAAAAAGCTTGAAGCAGAGAAGCTTATGTAAATGAATCATTCAGAAAATGAAGAGTTTCAAGAAAAAAATAAAAATTGTTTGACTCTACCTATGTTGACGCAGCAGTACACATTCTCCACCTTCTTTAGAATCAATATTGAAGATGTACAAATAACCATCTTGGGAGGCCACTAACAGACGTTGAATACTCTGCACTCTGTAATTAGAGACACACAAATATATATATATATATATATATATATATATATATATATATATATACATTTTTTTTTTTTTTTTTTTAAACTTGACTATTTGAATTTTATTCTCATGAAATACATGTTTATATTATAATAAGAGTATACTTAATAGTGAGGGTTTTTGGAAACTGATAGGATACAATATTAGTCTGTTATTGATAAGAGGGAAAAGTAAACTTTCCTCAAAATTCTAATTTTAAATTTCAGTGAGAATGAATGAACACATACAATGGGATACTGAATAATTCCATTTCGTACCCATTACAAATAGAAACAATATTTTGATGTTTGTTCATTGAAGTGTGTGTGTGTGTATATAAAGAAATATACTTTTAAGGTGTGCTATATTTATGGGATAAAGTGCTCAGTAGCAGAGAGAGTATGTAAATATAAAAGTGAACATTGAAGTCAACACTCAGAGGCGACAGACTTTCATGCTAGATGCAATCATCAGGCCACTTGATTGCATCTAGCATGAAACAGTCTGTCACCTCTGAGTGTTGACTTCAATGTTCACTTTTTTATATATATATATATATATATATATATATATATATATATATATGTGTGTGTGTGTGAGATAGAGTGTTTTTCTCTCTGTATACTGGGTTAAAACAAAAGTACAAAGTGTTTGAACACATGGATTTCTCAAGTGATTTAAAAGGTGACATCCCAACACATCTATTTATAAAATTTGTGAATTTTAAATGTTTTTATGTTAAAAGTGAAAATGGAGGAAAATTAGATGCATGTTCATCATTTGGTACTCTTATTTCTGGAAAAGGTAAAATGCTGTAAAAACACCAAAAACATGTGTGCCATTTATGGAGATAGTGCCATAGCTGAAAGTATTGTTTGTCAGTGATTCCCTAGGTTCAGAAGAGGAAATTTTGATCTGGTAGACTGATCTAGCAATCATCATTAATGATGACCAAATTGAAATGTTGGCCACATGACATCACAGATACTCGACATATCTCATAGGAAAGTTGTAAGGCATTTGAAAATCCTTGGATGCATAAACTGCTATGACATTAGTGTATTTCACAATTTAATGAAAATTGAGACACATGGCCAATTTGTTAAAGTGGTGATAATATTGACCTGGGCAATGATCCCAGCATGCAACACCAGTGAGAAGTGCCTGAAAAGATTGACTAAAGCCATGTGAAAGAAATTAGCTAAGAGAAATTATTCCCTTGTGGTTGTGCAAAAAACAAAGCCACAAGTCAATGTGACAAAGAGTTTGAGTGTACTGGCCTTATTCATGCCAAATTGAATGCTCTCTCCCAGAAACTATAACTAAGGTTCACTCAACATAGTTACAGTATGAATCATAGGTGGGTTCTGCAAATGTTGAAACAAACATGCCTTACCAGGTGACTACAGCCAGGAATAGCTAGCTGAGTAGATGAGGAACATGGAAACAAGTAACCAACCATCATAAACACATAAAACATGCATATATATATATATATATATATATATATATATATATATAGAGAGAGAGAGAGAGAGAGAAAATCTAAATGAAATAATAAAAAAAACGAAAGAATATTAATCTACAACCCAGTGTGTCTGAAGATTTTAATTTTTAATATTTTTTATTGTTCAAAAATTATATATATATATATATATATATATATATATATATATATATATATAATGTAAATCTATTTAAACTCAGTGGGTGAAAAAACCTGAGTAGCACAATTTTCCAACAAATTGGCACCCAAGGGGGAAAAAAAAAAAAGAAAGAACCAGGAACCTCCTTAGCCAGTTCACCTTGATGATCTCATGTGGTGAATCTTACCTAGGTAGTACCTGTCTCATTAGGAATTTTATATATATATATATATATATATATATATATATATATATAATATGTATGGTATATATATAAAATGTGTGTGTGTGGGTTTACGTATGTATTTACACACAGAAATATAGTTAGATTTTTAAAAGAAGTAAAGTAAAAAAAAAAAAAAGAAGACTTACGTAGCAATAGCACAGACATTCTTGAGTCCTGTGGTAGGCAGACGAGAGGTAGCGAATGAACGACCTTGGTTAAACATCTCGGACACCTGAGCAGGTAAGTAATTGGCAGAGGTTTTTAGAGCTTGACCAAAGTACCCCATCCACCCTTGGCTATCCTCCTGGGGCCTGAATGTGCAAAAAAATAAAAAATAATAATAAATCAAGAGGAATCATAAAATATGTCAATACTGTTCCTGTTAGTTTCAATATTCAAATATTTGATTGTATCATATGAATTCGGTAATTTTTCATAAAAATTTGTTTAAATAAAAATTTTAATCACTGAAATTTCTCTATTAATTTTAAGCATGTTTATTCAAGAGTATATTCTGATTATGGATGTGTTGTCAAGTGGTTAAAACATTTGCTTTCTGACCATGAGATCTGGGTTCAAATCTCACCATGGTTGATATGTTAGCAAAGTGACTTCTTTATATAATCAGTAGGAGTTGACCCAAGTTTTGTAAGTGAAACTGGGAAGACATAACTGTTTGGGAACTATCAATAGCTGTGTTAGCACAAAGTCACAAGTCATTGCAATTCTGCACTCTCTCCCTGAAACTGTAACCAAGGTCTGCTCAGCATGTGGTTTATACTGCAACATACAAACTACAGGTGGTCTCTGTAGGTATTGAACAAACACAAATGTGCCTGAGTAGGTGTCTGCAATAGAAATTGGTTTGGTTTGTTTTACGGCATATCAACCTTTATGGGTTATTTAATGCCAACAAAATTTTTATTGCTGGTAACATTTTGTTTTGTCAAAAATCTATTTCTAGTAATATTTTTCCTTCAAAAGTGTATTTCTAGTAATATTTTTCCTTCAAAAGTGTATTTCTAGTAATATTTTTCCTTCAAAAGTGTATTGCTGGTAATAATATTTTTCCCCAAAAAAGTATTGCTGGTAATAATATTTTGGGGTTAACTATTTGCCCATAGCTGGGACCCTAACAGGTGCTACCACCCCAGGTCAGGGTGGACCTGGAAACACCACCAATTAAGAGGTGGTTCCATGCTCCTCAAAATCTAGAGGCCTTGCTGCTGGACGCAGTTTATTGTCTTACCCAGGACATGGATGTAGTTTAACGTCATACCCAGGATGGGCAATAGAAATTGGCTAGCCACCCCTAGCAGATGAGTGTGCTCAGAAAATGAGAGCCGTCAGCCATTATATTGCCTTACACATAATTCCAATTTATTATTTCCAATAAAACCAACAGAATTTAAATCAAGGAGCTAACAGCCTTTATTAAAAATGAGTTTCATTAGCAGGCAAAGTGACCAACTATAACAACATACAAATCTTTTATACTTTTAGAAATTTATTTCTAATTAATATGCTGTATCATGAAATTCTGAAGATACAAAATAAACAAATGCATAATATGCCATTTCCTAGTTAACAGCAGATTTCTGTCATTGTAGTTCTACGGCTCAACTGCAAATGATGGAAGTACATGCCAAAGTTAATAGGTTAATATTTGAACTTAGGAAAGAAGAAAATTTCATCCAATACTATCTTCTGAATTTGCCTTTACTAAACTGTACTAAACTCAGATCCATAAATATTTTGTAATATTCTAGTTTATAAGGTTAAAAATTACACTAAGAAAAAATTACACCCAGAAAAAAATGCTGTGTGTGCACACGCATGGGGGTGGGGAGGATGTATATGAATATGCTGAATAACAACACTTTAAACTCACTGGTGGTTTCCTGTAACATATCTGACCACAATTTCAACATAAATGTCAGTCAGATCAGGAGAGAAAAAGATTCCCTAAGAAGAAAATGCATTGAAAGTGAACTAATTTCACAATACTTAATAAATTTATGACCAGAAGCATATATAATATCACCGATCATGGCAAAAGCACTAATAGCACGATGTGGTATATGAGCTAGTACAGAAAAATACAGACCTACTCAGACAGACACCAATGGCCCTAATATATATATATATATATATATATATATATATATATATATATATATATATGTGTGTGTGTGTGTGCGCGCCAGTACTTACTGGAAAGTGCTCAATATCAGTGATAGAGCTAATATAGGGTCACAAACTAATATCTATACAACTGAAAATATATATAAACACTTTCTGGTTATTGGATCTGATAAGGTAATTTCAATTATTGTCACTCTTATTCTTAAAAATCCCAATGCATTTTCCTTGCACACAGTTTTGTCTTTTGTTCTGACCTGAAGAAATCAAGAGACATTGGAAAAATGCATTGTTTATTAAACTTTTCCACTTTGTCCCAAATATATATATATATATATATAAAAAATGATGAATACAAATTGTGTTTTACAAAATTAAATTTTACTGGGACATTTTTGTGTGAGGCTTTATTGATAAAATATCTTGTTAGCTGCTCCATTGCTTGCACTGTGTATTTCCAGACTGCCATTCTACAAGCAGCTTGGATTGGAATAAAGAATAAGCCTTTGAGAACTTTGCCATAGTTGCTTTAATAATTAGACAATGAAAGTCAATCATCAACAGTCATCCAAATCTAGCTATAGAGATTTATTTCTTACTTGCCATCTGTACTCCATCTTCACAAAAAGACAGACTCTCAATGATAAGGAAAGCTAGAGGATTTTTCTTTATTCCTGGTCTGCACCATTCACATTCCTAGAATGGCTGTCTGGGAGTTGTGATATAAAGTAACTAATGAAAATCAAAGAACTAGTTTAAATGGAGAGTTTGGCTTAGAGGCAAACACTATTCTGCCATTTTTCTGCTTAAGTAACACTGTAAAATTACCTTATAAAGTTAGGCATCATGCACCACAGATATCATGATCTTAGGGCGATGTGTCAGTTCATGCCATTATTTTTTCCCCTTTTTTTTTTTTTTTTTTACAAGTACCATTCTAATCAGTAAGAAATTCAAATACTATTACATCCAATACTACTAATGTAAACATATTTGACAAAAAAAAAAAAAAAAAGCCGATTCTTCAATGGTTTATGGGGTAGATTTGTTTGAATTTATGAGCAACCAGGTTTAGGCATGCTCTGTATCCAATAAAATTAGTCCATTTGTAAAACATGTAAGCCAAAATTGAACAATTACTCTAACCCACTCAGAATATTTGTTGAGTTACAAAATGAATTTATCAATGTCTACATAATTCTCTTCTTGGTTATTTTAGAAAATTATAACTTTAGCCAAAAAGCTAATCTTTTACATTATTGCAATATACTTGTAAAATCTGTAATTGTAAAATAGTATAATTTGCAGTATTTCAGTTACTGAATAAAACTACTTGTAGAGTTTGCTACAAATTCCTATAGAAGTAGCAAGCTAATCATGTTTTTACCTTCTTCATTCTCCAGTGTTTTTTAGTAAGATTGAACAATCAAGTATGGAAAGACTAGCTTTCATTCTTAAACATGATCAGATCAGTTTAAGTTTTTATTTTTAATCATCAAATCTTGACTTATGGCTAATATATTAAATGTTTATTTCCACATAATGCAAAGAGTATAATATATACATTTTTATACTCTCTTGGGAATAAAATTTCAATATTACTTTCGTACAGGATGTCATCTTGAACAGTTACTATTGAGAAACAAATTGATTATAATCTATTTTGATATACTAGTAATTAGCTTTTAAAGCCACCTTGAGAAACTGGTATCTTAAGTCATTCTGGGATTTGTTTAGATTGGATAGCTTGAGAAAATGATTATGAATTCAAGGTCATATCATTTATTTACAAACAGTACGTCACACAAATAAGAACAAGTTACAATGAACTGCAGTTATCATTGGAATTTAGTTAGGGAGGGACATAAGGTAGAATATAGAAAATTAGTCACAGTTTGGTGTACAAAAAGAATACAAAAGTAGCCAGAAATTCTTTACGTAAATCACAGAAGACATTTTAGAGTTTAAAAGAGGTTACATAATGAGAAAACATTCACAACACAATTGAGCAATACAGTATGGATATGGAACTATCTGTATGAAGCATTTGGCTGAGAAGGTTAGTTGGACCCATATATTTGCCACCACATTTTTTCTTTGGAACTCAGAAGAAACCATCATAGAGACAACAAACTCAAGGAATCTTAAATTGACTCAAATCTAGATTTGAAGAATATACAATACAATTTTTTAACCAATCAAGAGAAATATATTTTGGAGATCGAATGTGGAACTTACATTTTAGCTGATTGACTGAACCAGAGATTTTAAATTTTAAGATTCATTCCTGAGTGAAATCAACTGAAGATAAATCTTTTAGGAAAAAAAAAAATGCTAAAAATATGAAGAGATGCTGAAAAGTTCTTGGCCTGACCCATTTCCTCAAATCTGACCAAATAATCAAACAAATTTTCTTTTAATTCCTTCTTGATCAGGCTGAGAATTTTTCAGTGTTTCTTTGTATTGGCAAATAAATGTAGACATAGTAACAGTTTTTTTTACCAAGTTCTGGCATTTTTACAGATCTTGTTTGCAGTAAAAAGATTGGCCTAAGTTCAAACAGAGAAAATGGACAACAATGAAGTTAACAATGACAACTTTGTATATTTGCAAATTGACAAAAAAACAATTTTAAAAAGGTAACCAAAGTAATGAAAATTCTAAATGGAGGTTGGTTGCATATATCGGACAAGAGATGAACAGAACTGCTTATGAAATATCCAATTTACAAATTAAATCACTAAAAATATTTGCATGAAAACTACCAGACAAAGAATAATATCAATGTTTACAGTACAGCTAAAACAGTGCTAACATTTAAGATGCTTGCAAAAATATTACAATATAAAATATTGTAATATTTTTACAAATTTATTAATCTGTGGAGGTGCCTAAAGTCCCCCCTCCTGTGACCTGTACGGGCACCATGTGTACTGCAGCCACAGTGGAAGTGGCATTTCTTGGGCAGGATAGGCTGACTGAGCCCAACTCTTTCCAGGCCGGTTTTGAATTCAGTTTTTTCTTAGGCAGGTTGCCACCCAAGGTTATAGAACCCAGTCTGTTCTGCTATTTACCCATAGCTGGGGGGAGAAGAAGATTCATACCTTTCCCAAGGGTATTAGCATGTAAGCAAATGTAATGGATCCAAATGGAATTCAAACTCAGCTTTCCAATTCCTCAATCCAATCTGCTATCCATTACTCCACCGTGTCCAAAATTTTATTATATATATATATATATATATATATATATATATATATATATATATATATAAAATCCCATAATTGTTCTAAAACTTGTTAAATTTTTAGATTTACTGATGTTTTTGAAACCATGTTGTGCTCATGATTGAATTCAATACTTACTTATCTTTGATACTTTCCAATTTAAAGACATGGACTGTCTCAGTATTACTAGAAGCAGCTAAGTAGAGAGAGTCAGGGCTGAATGCCAAGGAATAAATGGTTACACACCTGGGAAGAGAGAAAGAAAAAAAAAAAGCATTGTAAAATGAATGGAATACAGAATTAATAACCTGCTTAAAAAGGTATTAGTAGAGAATTAGATTTTACAGCAAAATGGCAGATGCTGCAAGTTCAAAAAGTAATTGAAAATATATAAGCAGTACTTATCTATCTTAGGAATAGGGCTATTTATTTTATTTTTTTGAATGCTAATCATTAATTCAAATATATACATGTTAAAAACATAGTAACACTCAAATTTTGAAATGCTATAGCTTTGATTTGTAATTACTTTATGTTACCAGGATGTAATGCGATAATCTATTTTGATATTTTTTCCCTTTGAATATTTACAGAAATTAAGATTGTTGATAAAGAATTTATCAAAATATTGGACTTATCCCAATCATTTAATATATATATATATATATATATATATATATATATATGCATGCATGCATCTACCTGTTACTGCCTCTCCCTCCTAATGTCAGTTAAACATGGCATGGTCTAAGAAGTTTTGTCAGCCATAGAGTGCCTCCAAATATAAGTTATCAGTGTCCATTCTGTTATATCTTAACTGGAGATACACCCAGAACAATTTGCCTTGTAAAGTTCTTTCAGAGCTATATATCTGCCATTTTTAATTATTTGCTGAATTTCAAATGGACATTGACTATAAGTTAAAACTTAGTTGTTTTTTTTTTTTTTTTTTTTTTTAATAGTAGATAGCCTTTCCTATTGTCTGGTTCATACTCCTCCCCACCTCTTGAACAGGAGTAGAGGATCATTCCTCATTTCCTGTTTAGGAAGGAGTTCCCGGTTCCTTTCCTTCTCTCAGGCCTTAATAGTGGTGCTGCCATGAATTTTTTGTGATATGTGTAGATGGTGGCAATGTCTCTTCATTCTGAGGGTACCACATTGGCAGTTTTCAGGTTGCTGCTCCTGACTGTCGTTAGGAACTGAATTCTTGCATAGCATCTTGGGAGGTGGCTCTGATGAACAGTTACATAATATTTGGGTTTTTGCAGTGCCATGTCATGCATGGAAGTGTCCCTGCAAGCACCTCCAGTGGGCAACCCCGAGGCCACACTACAATGCAGTCTGCACCAATTCCCTTCCTGCACATGTTACATTAGATGACTGCTACTACTACTACTACCCTAGGCTTTTCTTTACCAAAATAACACATCATGACTATAAACAATTAAAGATATAAACCTAAACCAGCTCAACAAAAAACACCTAAATCCTTCAACCTTTCTTTCTCCAATACTTCTGGTATTTGTACCAATTTCTGCAGGGTGGAATCGTTCCCCTTTGAAAAGTCTCCGGACATCCTAACTCTCTGTGAAACTAATCTTAACTTTTCAATTCCCTCTGATTTCTTGATTCCTGGCTACCTTCCTCTCTTTAGAACGGACTCTAATGTCCACATGCATTGTCTAGGAATTTATATCAATGAACATCTCCTGCAGACTAAAGAACTCTCTTGAATCTCCAGACCATTCTTACATGTGTCCCTGTCTCTCCCTACTTAACTCAGTCAGCTATCTCTTCCATTTCACTTCTGCTCAAGATTGCTGCCGGCTAGATATTATTTCTGATAATATAGATAAGGCCATCTTTGTACACCCATTTGCAAATATAGTTGTGTTCAGTGACTTTGATGCCCACCATACTAGGTGGCTTAAACACTGTACTGACCTTGTTGACATCCATACCCTTTTCTCAATCACTCAATCTCTCATGCAAGTGGTTGACTTCCCCAGTTACCCTGAGGGACACACTTCTCAATCTCTTTTTTACCCGACTCTTATCATACTATGCAGCTTTGCCCTCTTGGCAACTCCGATCATGCGGCTGTATCTGTAAACATCTCCTTCTGCTCCCCAATCAGCCAAGAACCTCTTACCAACAGAATATTTTTCTGTTATCAACAAGCAGATTGGGACTCATTCTGTAATTTCCCTCGTGATGTCCATTGGAATGAAGTTTTTAATCATTCTCTTCAAAAATGTACATCTGAGGTTACCTCCTAGCTGAAAGCCAGCATCAATGCTTTCATTCCAGCAAGGAAATACCAAGTTAAACTGTGTTCATCTCTTTGGTTCTCATCTGCATATTTGGCTGTTATAGCCCACAGGAATCACTTCTTCCAGCTGTACCAGACACACAGGTCTGATTGCAACAGACATCTATCTTTGTGTCTGCTCATAACAAGTGGGTCCTCAAAGAAGTATAGTTACTGTTTGCCGATAGAATGAAACAACATATAGCATCTCGCAAGTTCGGTTCTAGAGATTATCAGCAACTCTGCAAGAGTGTGCTAAACAAAAGTAAATCCTCAATCCCTCCTCTATTCAATCTATTTGAAATCCTGACATCTACAGCAGACAAGGTCGAGTGCTTTGCTCAGAAATTCTCTTCCAACTCAACACTCGACTCCTTTGGAGTACCCACACCTGATTTCCCTAATAGGACAGAGTGATATGCACATAACACCATCACTGGTCTCAGACTCCTATAAGGCAAATGGAAGTGATGGTATCCTAGTCATTGTCCTAAAGTAATGTGTCCCCAAGATGACACCAGTCCTCTCCAAACTCTACAACTATTGCCTTGCCGCTCCTGCTTTCTAGCTTGTTGGAAATCCTCCTCTGTAATTCCTGTTTTTAAGAACTCTGGAGAACCTCCGGGCCCCTATATCGCCCTATTAGTCACCTACTACTTTTCAGCAAAGTATTCAAAACTTTAATCATTACTGAAGTGGTTAAGCAACTTAACTCTCATGACCTAATCTCTGACAAGCAATATGGCTTTCAGATCTACTGCTGATATGCTAATGGCTATCACTGAATTAGTATATCAAGCTCTTGATAATAACAGTGAAGCCTGAGCTGTGACACTTGATATTTTGAAGGCATTTGACAGGGTTTGGCACACTGGTCTTCTATGTAAGCTCCAGGGGTATGGTATTACTGAACGACTGTTTGATTTAATCCAATTGTGAAATGTGGGTGTGCTCCAAGGGTGTATCCTGGGTCCTACACTGTTTCTGATCATCTTCCTGATGTCATCAATTCTCAAGTAGGCATTTATGCTATGACACTACCATTTACTCCTGTCTCAATAGAAAATCTGTCAGACTTGACAAAGCTGCTGCTCTTGAAAAGGAACTCCAATTTGTTAACTGGAGCAAGAAATGACTCTTAAATTTTAATACCTCCAAAACAAAACTGCACTTATTCGACCATCGTTGAGAATCTTTCCTGTCCACCATCAGCATGGCTGGTGCTAGACTCATGGAAAGCACACTGCAGCTTCTTGGCCTCATATTTTCAACTGACTTGAAGTGGAATGACTACATCAAATCAATAGCTGCATCTACTGCAAGGAAAGTTGGGTCACTATGTAATGCCAGAAGGTTTTTTTCATCAAAATCCATCTTGCACATTTAGAAATCTACCATTCACCCATGCATTGAATACTGTTGGCATATCTGGTCTGGTGCTCCTGCTACTCATTTCAAAATTCTTGATAAAATCTCAAGAAGGATCTGTCTTGGCATCTCAATTTCAGTCTCTTTCTCACTAATGTGACATGGGTTCCCTCTGTCTTTTCTACAAATATTTTCATGGCAACTGCTCTGACAAGCTTTTTTCCCCTCTGGTGCCCAGTCTAAGGGAGTTTCAGTGGGCTACTAGATTGACATCTAGGTCCCAAGCTTTTACTGTTGAAATAGTTAAATGTAACTGCCACTTCTACTCTAAGTTTCTTTTCTTGAACTTCCCACCTGTGGAACTCTCTTCAGTTTCAATGCTTTCCTGATAACTACAATTTTCAAAAATTTAAATGCAATGTCATTTGCCTTAACTACTTTAATGCCATTCAGCTTTTATCCCTTCATCAGTTCCCCTTACTCAGTCTTTTCTCCCACCTGCACTCTCTGTAACCCTCTGTGGGGTGAAATGACTAAAAAAAAAAAAAAAAAAAAAAAAAAAAAAATTTTATTTATATGTATTGATTATTTCTATATATCTAGGTATATCATTTTATATAAAACTGCATTCATCCATGAGTCAGCTAACCAGATAAATCACTTGAACTTAATTTATTGAATATTATAGTTCTAGTTATCTATTAAGTACTTTTTGGCAAAAGCTCTGCTTATCTGGAAGGAAAAAATATGTAAAAATTCAAAACACCAATCTTTAGGTTACCATGGTTCCTACCAGAATGGTATCACCAGGCATGTTTTGAAAATTGTATTAAGTACTTTTTTTAATGAAGCTGCTTTTTTTTTGGGGGGGTGTAGGCAAGTAATTTTTGTCAAAGGTTAAATTTTGTAATATGCATGTGTACATAAATGTACAAACACATACACACACAAATATTTGAAAGTTTTTGCATATTAATTCCCTAACTTTGCTCAGGAATGTCCAAAATGTCAACAACTTCACATTTTGATTATTTGTATTGATTTTAAAAACAATAACTAATTATGCTTATTGAATATTGTTTAATAACAATGTAGTATTTTGACATAAAATAATAGAAACATTTACTTTTGTCATGCTAATTATCATTCTTTTTTCATCATTATATAGAAACCTAAGGTCAAAATGAGTTACAAATTATAGATATTGTGAAAACTTAAAATCATAATTATTCTAAAGTTCAATGAATAAATATTATTCTGTCCAATGTTACAATCTGGAAAAAAGCTAATAGAAAATGAAGACTATAACAAATTAAGATATATATAAAGTAAAATTCAATACGAATAACATGTTTACATATAGAGCCTAGAATATTCTAGTCAAAGTGAAGAGGATATTGGAATAAATGGTTTAATAAACTGCAACAATAATGCATAGTCCTTGATATATCATCTAAAGAGACAAAAATACTTACCGCTTGACACCTCTCCGAAACTCAAAGAGTTTTTGTCCATCAGGAATAGAAAATACTCTAATAACTGTCCCCTGAAAATATTCAGAAGAAAACCCCCATTGAAATGCTAAAAGAACAAGAATCAACAAGAGAGAGATCTGTTTTGCACTGATTATGATTTTCAGAAAACATGTATTACATAAAGTTTTCAGCGTGTTTAAATCTGCATGTTTGTAACATTATGCCTTTTAAAGAATTGAAACAAAAATTAACTGATGGACAATTTAAAAATAAAAAGATGAAAAAATGATAAACCATGATCAAAATTACACTGAAATATTTTTTAAATTCGAGTTTTTCAGAAAATTTGCCCCAGTCAGAACATAAAATCACTTTCTTTATGAGAATTTATTTTTTTAATCCATCAAGTTTTTTCTGAACTTGAAATTAACAAAAAAAAACAAAAAAAAAAAAAAAAAAAAAAAAAAAACAAGTGTAATATTAAAAATATTAAATAAAAGAATTAAGTTATTTATGAAATTAAATTAAAGAATGAAACAGAATTCGCTTTAAAACAAGATAATCATTTGGAGTTGTACCAATGGTATATTTTTCAGATATACCATTGTATGTGGTTGATTTAGGTTAATTTCCTTGCCTTTGCTTTTTAGTTTCCACTCCACATGAGTTTGAATGTGCCCTCCTGTCTACCTTGGGTGTATATTTTACATTTGACAACAATCCAAGAAATAACAGAAACTCTTGGAAAAGCATGTCAACCAAATTTAGTAAGGATTTTTGCCTTTCAATATATGACATCTTGGGAAACTTGTTAAAGTTACCACTGGCAAAGGGACTACTTTAAAGGATAAGGAAATGCTAGGCTAAGTCTTACAGTTTATTTTTAAATGACCAAATTCCCCTGAACATTTTAGTAGCACACATATCAAGGTATATCTAATAGTAATGTAAATATTTCTAAAAAAAACAATAAGCCTAAATCAGTCCTATAAGAACATATATATATATATATATATATATATATATATATAGAGAGAGAGAGAGAGAGAGAGAGATAGATAGAAAGATGTAGATGCGTGTGCATATTCAGACTTGAAGATTGAATCTAGGCATAAAAACAGACTGTCACCTCAATGAACACTTCTATATTTACATATTTCTATCCCAGATACTGAGCACTTTAGCCCATAAATATGCCATACTTTGAAATGTGTGTGTGTGTGAATTGGGATCAAATATGGATTAGAATGATAGGATAAGAAACAAGTAGAAACCGTTTATATATAAGGCTTTGTTTTTATTTAAGCATTATCCAAAAATGAAACATGGAGAAAAAAAAACAAAGTTCTGGTAGATTGTTTTCCATTGGTTATGCAGACCTCACGTGTACCTGTCTGGTCAAACAGCATGGACCTGATAGATACATGCGAGGTCTGCAATTTTATATATATTTTTTAAATCATTCTCTGCTAGAGAAATGTACATCATATTAAGAGAAACTTACTTTTTCAGATGCTGTAGCTAGCTTTGTTCCTTGGGGATTGAAAGCAAGAGCTGCTAATGGGTTGTCATGAGCTGGGATCATTGTCAAAGCACGCTGAAAAAAAAAATTTTACAACTTAAAATTCTTTTTTGTTTTCTTCATATATTACAAATAGAAAGAAAATAACCCTGTGTATTAGTGCTACTATCAGTAGCAATGGTCATTTGTTGTCTTTTGTGATTAATGTTGTAAAAGTAAAATAAATCCACTGAAGGAAACTAAAAATAAGACAATTATTGATGCTTCACTGATATGAAGCATATCATTCTTTTACCATGGGCTGACAATATTATATAAAAATTATTAGATCAATCATGAGAAATGTTTATTTAGAATTGCCAGATTTTGACTAAGTAGACACTTTAGTGAATATCAATTTTCTAAAATGCTGATGCTTTGCATCCTTATATATAGCTGCTAACAGGTGGGCTTTGGAAGTCAATCAAAAGAAGTTCAAATATAGCAATATAAAGTCAAAAGGTGAAACCATTAACAATTCAACAATCTGAACTTGCCTGCCCCTTTACAGAAGATCTGGCAATATTTTCCTAATAAATATAGCATTTGGGAAATAACCAAAAGACAACATTTATCAGAAAATTATGAAGAGGAAAAATAATAAAGAAAACAATTTGAATAGACTCATAGTAGTGAAGCAATAAAACAAAATATTAGTTTTTGAAACTAAGGTTTATTCAGGAATTGCTGAAAACAGATCAAATTTCAACTGCCTATTTTTAAGTAACAGTTTCTGGATGTTTACATAAACAAAATTCTATTATTGAAGTAGTAACTTGATATTTAATTCTGTCTTGATGGTAGTGACTGTATTTTTAATCATCTTTAACTTTTAACATGTAGCATCACACTTAAGTGATATTTGATTTTGTCTATAAAATCGACAACATATTTGGTTGGCTTTCAAGTAATCAGAGTTCAGTATATGCAAATAGTGATCAGGATAGCAATTTAATTAAAGATAAATTGGTTATTTTAGGTTTTAGTCAACACTAAATGACAGTCATTCAAGTACATTTTTTTTTTTTTTTTTTTTACACAAATACTGAAGATTATTATTTTTAATACTAGTTATTCTCCATGATCATCCAAAATGTATATACAAGTAGGAGCCAATAAGTTCTTAGCCTGACCAACTTTGGTCAAATTTTGACTAAATAGCCAAATATTAGATTTTATTTTGTGATTTCAAGAAGTTTTCTGCACTCAATTGTATATATAAGCAGAAATTTATTCACTATTTTGCACATTTTTATACGATATAAAAATCCAAGTTATCATCTAGCATGAGGAGGTGCTGAAAACCAACCCCTCCCCCCAAATTAATATCTGCAGAATACTAATTTTTAACAGGTAGGTTGGAGATCAAGAACATTTTAGAACCCCCTTCCAAGTAAAAGACTAAGAAATATTCTAATAAATAAAGTCTTATTTGGTAAAAGTGACAATACTCACTAAGGTCATTGTGTCAAAAATCTGAACTTCCCCAATTTGGTTGCTGCCTGGATAGGCAAGAAAGCAATTATCATTACTGGAAGAGAAGACACACAATCCCTGTGGGTTGGGCGGAGTATCCCGGATTGTGTGCAGGACTTTCATGTCACGGATGTTGTGGATATACAAACTTTCTTCCAGGCAGACAATCAGGCGCTGAAATAAAATAAAAAATACAAGAAAAAAATTTAAGGACCACTGAACATTAAAGAAAACCAAAAGTGTAGTTAATAATTGTTGTAATATAAAAATAGAAAAAATATATATATAAAATTAAGTGCCCAAAATTTAATGGGCACTACTTAAGTAGAGTGGTCCACTTATAAAAAAAAAAAAAAAAAAAAAAAAAAGGGAAAATCTTTGGTAGATTAGCATTCTTTAGACTAAGTTGCAACCGGTCACAATAAAAAAATATTGATTGTTGTTTTCTGGAAGTCAATCAAAAGTAATTTAGAAGCAGGTCCTCTTTATAATATCTATACAGTGTAAAATTGATCACGAATTTTTACAGTGTTATCAGAAAGAAAAAAAAAAAACTGTTTACAAATGACAACTGCCTGGTTATGATGAACTACATTTAGCAGCAAGGCCTCTGATTGTGAGGTTTTGAGGAGCATGGAACCACCTCTTAATTGCTGTTGTTCCCAGGTCCACCCTGACCTGGGGTGGTAGCACCTGTTAGGGTACCAGTTATGGGCAAATAGTGAACCCCAAAACTGGGGTTAAAACATTGAAAGTATAAAAAAATTTATAGTAAAAATACCAGCAATACATTTTCATCATAAAAAAAAAATAAAAAACAAATTACCAGCAATACATTTTTGTAAAAAATTATTAATACTCCCAAGAAAATTAGATTTTGGCATTAAATGACCCATAAGGAGTTGTTATACCATTAAACAAACAATAAAAATGTAAAGTTTGAAACTGCCTACAGTATATGAAAATAATTTATTTTATGGAAAAAATATTAATTAAAAAGAACAAAAGGATATAAATTTCTCCATGTTTTATTTTAAGAAAATATTTTAAACAACCAATTGTTTGGCTAAATAGATTTATTTTTTATTTTTATTTTATAAAAAGATTTTATCATTAAAGAGCAAATGGATGCATACATTTTTTAAGGTAGTTGAATATCATTAATTAAAGAACAAAAATTTATATAAATTAACAAAGGATAAAAAAAATATATATCAATGCTGTAAGCACATTTTAAAGGCATGACATTTTAAAAACAAACACTAAGTGCAGATAACTCAGTAAAAATCAAGAATTGATTTGATATTGTGTCAATATTATGAACTTTTTAATTGATTTAAAAAAAAAAAAAATTTTTTTTTTTTTTTTAATTGGCAAATATGGTTTGAGGAAGGTCTAAAAAAAATGCTAAGCTACAAAAATGATTCTCTGGAAAATATTTCCCTATTTTCTATGAGTGGACCAATCTATTTAAGTAGTGTCTTTTAATGAGTGATACCAATTGATTTATTGATTTTGAAAAATAGTTTGTTTTTTTTTTTTGTTTTTTTCTAAGTTTTGTCTTTCAGAAGCTAGAAAAAAGAAAAAAAAAAAGTAAATAAAAAGAATATCCCCAAACAATGGAAGGCATTTTATTTTACTTACATGCCTGTTTAGGCGTACTGCCAGAATAGAGTTTGAATAACTGTAATTGCATATTTCTGTGCCTTTCTTGAAGTGGCATACTTTCAACTTGCGAGGAGACTGCAAGCTTACAATAGCAACAAGGCTACTGGAAAACAGGCGCTCCACTATGCAAACATCTTCGTTCACTGGAAAAAGAAAAACAAGTATAGAGAATGAATTTAAAAATACTTTTACTTTGAATGTATAAAAGTATCAATGTAAAAAAGTATCAATGTAAAAAAAATATTTAGAAAAAAAAAATTCAGAATAATATATTACAATACATAATCAATACTTATATTATTCATAGAGAAGTAGGCTTTTCCACATTGTTCATTGTTGCTCAGAAGATGATCTGTAAATGTTCTTTTATAAGATTCATTCTTGGACTGTTTAACTATGATGTGAACCAATGTAAACAGTTAGATAGCAGTACTTGGAGACCAATCCATTTGAATGACTGCACTGATGAAAGCTTATTATTCATACCTAGGTTCTGTTGTATTAACACAAATTAACATCATTTAGTTCATCAACCCAAACAAGTTTTGAAACAATATCAAGAATATTACAATAAAAAACGATTGTAACAAAAGTGCCTTCTTTGGAAAACATTTCATTTATATAAACATTGTATCCTTAAAAAAAACGTTACAAACAGACAAAAATGGTACTCATGAAATGAACAGCAACACGGGCAGAGATGAAAGAAAGGGAGGTTTATTGTAAAGAAAATACACTACTGAAAGACAGGGAATCAGTTAGCAAGCTACTAATTCCCTGAAGGATATTTACTTTACCTCCCTGCAAGGCAGGATGTTGCACAAGGCTGTTATTTAATATGGGGCAAAACCAAGCCCATGGGCTCAGGCAAAAGTTCCCCATATACACAGGGTTGGGTAGCTGTCTACCATCCCAGACAAGACTGCCCTTCAGCATAGCTTCATCTTGGTTCCTCTCTGCCCGAAGGCAAAGAGTTTGACCAGCACAGCTGGAGACGAATCTCCAACTAATTCCTGAAGCAAGTTCGACAGGTATATCCTGTGCTTACTATATATATCTACTGATATAGTCAGTCCACATAGGTGATAGGGAGTGTGGGACATTCCATTACAACAATAACTATCACAGCCTATGTATATAGATGTGATAAAAATTTCAAAAAGGTATTTTGTTTGAGGTGGTTCTAGTTTTAATGTCATGCAGCCTAGAAGATTCAACAAGCTTTTGGATAGCTATCACGTATATAATTTATCTGATTTTCCCCAAGTTTTGTAAAATTTGAAGTTCACAAGTCATTTGAAAAGTTTTAGCAAATTTCATATTGTAAGAAGCATTTTCAAACATCCAGAAACAGTTGACATTTCAAAAACAAAGCAGAGAAATTTAAAGTATTCAGATGTTTTAACTAAGCTACCTATTGGTGCAGTTTATTATAAAAGGTGGATAAAAACATTTCCTATGAAGATTTTTGCAACTTTATTGCAAAATAGATAAATAAATAAAGAAAAAAAAGAAAAAAGATTTAATACAAATTTCCTGCAGCCTCAAGTAGACAATATTTGCTGTAAATTAGCAAAATTGATAGTAAAAAAAAAATTATTTGAAAATGAAAATTTAGTAACAAAAATTTTTATTCAGCAGTTTTAGTTAAGATTAAAATCTTGTTTTAATCCTGGAAACAAAAAGTTTGGATATCAAGTCAATAATTTAAAAAAAAAATTTACTGTAAAGAATTAAAATCTTGGCTGCAGATTCAACAAAAAAAATTATTTAAAGATATAGATAAGGATAGATATAGAGATACACATACAATCATTAGTAATTATTAGCATGTAAATTGTTTTTATGTGTGGATGCAGCCATTTATGTATATATTTTAATATCTTGATAATTTATTAGAACAATTGATAACAAAATATTTGCTTGTAATGCATACGCACACATTGTAAACAAATGTCAGATAAATTATCTACTAACCAAATTTGTTTACACATTCTTAGCAAAGTTGTTGTGCCTATGTGCATATCTAATCTAATACATAAAAACCAAGCTGCCTTATTCTGTACATAAAAAATGTCCACAATAAATAACAGAAAAAATATATGAAGTATATTTTCATGCTAATGACACTATACATTTTAACATATATAACAAAATAATATTGAGGAAAAATAAACAGACATCAAACAATTTCATAAATACTTTTTGTAACTATTAAGAGGAAAAGTTATTAAATAATTTTCAAGTTTGAAAATCTAAATCTTGAAAATTTTTCTTAGATCAAATTTTAAGTGAAAAGAGTTGGCACATTCATTATAGCAAGTTAACTAATGCCATATCAGTAACTCTTGGGAAATAATTTTAATGCTAAATTTTTATTGTTTAGTTTAAAAAAAAAAAAAAAAATAGTAACAAATACTGCAAGAAAAGTTTCTGATAAATCCAGGTCAAATATACCAAGCAGTACATAGGTGAGATTAACAGTTCATATTAAGTATAGTCACTCCTGTACACACAGACTGAAATCTATCTTTACATATAATCTATTAATGAATTTTCTAACATCAAAATGAACAGTAGCAGCTGAACCGTAGATATATATATAGTATAAAGTAATATATCGAATATAGGACAAGAACTGTGTGATTTTGTCAAAAACATCGGAACAATAAATGCTATATTTATGATCAGAATGATTATGAGAGCAATACAAATGCAGAAGGATGTACACTTATGTTTTATAGACTATACAAAAAGCATTTGATAAGGTACAGCAAAAGGATCTATTTGAACTGTTAGGAAAACTGGATTTATTATTTGGGAAGAATGGTAAAATAATACAGAATTTATACTTAGAGCAAACTCCCCTGAATATGGACTGAAAATGAATTGAGTAGGTACGAAAAAAAAAAAAAAGGAAAGGGCACAAGACAAGAACATGTCTTCTCACTGAATTTAATTAACTATTACAATGATGCTAGGATTTTATATGCTGACTGCCAAATATCAATTACAAAATTTGACTTAAAACACCAACTTTACAATAGCCAACTTAAGCTATAAAGTCTTTTTGAAATGCTTTGTTTATGTGCTATATTTTCAATAAATTTTTTTGCCCATACAATTTTTCATTCCTGCCATACACAGGTACCAGTTATCTGCATTTAAGGAAAAAAAAAAAAAAAACTTATGGTTATAGCCTTGATGGCAAGACCACAAAAATGAGAACTTATGATTGGTAGTTTTTGTTATGACACTAACCACTAATATATGCTAATATCAGCAGGCATAATCTTAATACAAGATATGCAGACAACACAAAAGGAAAACTGCAGGACCTCTTAAGAAACGGTATTAAAAGAAATCAAGAAAGAAAGAACTAAAATCTTTTGGAACTAAAGTTCCCTCCAGATTTCAAGTAGAACTTGTATGATCCATTGTTTGGTTTCCTTGTACCACTCCAGAAAGTACATGAATCATCCTGCCATACTATTACAAGAGTCAGATCTAACCAAAACATATTGCTGCCATATTTTTGGTGGGCACTGCTCAATTCTCACTTTTCAACCTTGATAGAGTTCAAAAGCATTTACATCGTCTTGTGGGCGATAAATTATTTCCCACCTTACAACTACTTTCCCACAGATGAAATGTTGCACGCCTTTTGCTACTATTGCTATTTTCATGGCAAATACTTTCTTAACTTCCACCAGTTTAGACCTTTACAGCTGGGACCCATTAAGCCACAAACAGTCAATTCCTTCCCTTCATATTCTATTAGTAAAGAAATTCCACACAGACAGCTTCTTCCAAAGGACTGCTTCTTTGTGGAATAGACTCCCAAGAGGATGCTTCTCCAAATGTTACAATCTTAACTGCTTCAAGTCTAGAGACAACCATTATCTATCCTACATATCTTCATAATTTGCACTTTTTGCTTCCTCATTCAGTAATTCTCCATCTTTAGTGGCTATCAAGTCTTGTATTGGGTGAACAATTGTATAGAGAAGAGAGTATGTTTGTTCAGTAAACATAGCCAAGCTGTTTCATGTAGAGACATCAAATTTGGTACACATACTTATTAGACAAGGAACAGTTTTAAATGGTAAAGAGATAAAAAAAATAATCTAGAAAGAAAAAATATTAAGTTATCTGACTGACAATTTGAATCCTTAACTAAATTATTCATGGCAAATATATTAAATTAGGCTGAGATATTCTTGCAAATGATATTTGGAAGTTATTACAGAATTATTACTACTACTGTAATTAAATTAATATAAATTTACATAATAATCAGGTGTTGATGGAAATTTCCTAGTTATTTATTGATAAAAAAAAAAGTGCCAATCATCATATCAAGCAATCAGGAAATCAAGCTTGTTCTGTTCGATCAGAGATTGTGGCATCCACATGCTGAGTTTGGAAACAAACTTAAGTCTCTTCAAATGGCAAAAGGCAGTTGAGATATTGATTTTCAAATGCAATCTCTTCTAGCAAAATCTGGTTTATTCTCCATAATGGCAAGCAGAGTTTCTTCATCGATGTTGGAAGGTCATTCGAAGTATGGTTGATTGTTTAGGTTAAAATCAACCTGCCAAAATTTGCTAAACAACTTTTTGACCATCTGAACAGCGAGAGCACAATCCAAAAACTGAGTGTTCTTGTCACAGTTCCAACGCTTACTTCTTTCCGAAATTCATAGAGCATAATATGGTGAAAGTAACTTTTCATCCCCCATATTTAAGGCATTTATTTGTAGACAAAGCATCAACAAAGTCTGGCTCACAACTGGATGATGTAAGATTTCAATCTAGAATACATCAAAAATAAGCACCAAAACAAATACCAGTGTCAAGTTATGTTCATTTTATATTAACAATGAAAATTAGGCACAAAGTTTTGCAATAATCAAATATATGATAAGTCAATGCAAACAAAGAATGAATTGAAAATCTCCAATTAGTAATTACAAGTCATGGTAAGAATGATAAATGTTCTAAAGTATTTAGGTGAACCTGCTTCCAACAAAAACCTGGCAAACAAAATTTTACTTTAAAATAAAGGGGATATGAGAAAGATCTATAAAAAAACATTAAAAAAAGAATAATTATATTGATTATAAAAAAGGTAGTACTTTCAA